AATACGCAGTGGTTTTATCTATAAATATTATATTAATGCAATATACAGATATTTTATATATATTAATATAATATGCAATAATTTTATCTATAAATATATTAATACAATATACAGTTATTTTATATATAAATATTATATTCATAATTAGGATACTATAATAATTATAATAATTAAAAACTAGATCTAAGCAAAAGCAGGTTTACAAATTCAGATTTTTAAAACAGAGGAGGAGGGACAAATAAATAAATAAATAAACAAACAAACAAATAAAAGGAAAAGCTGCAAAGCTCTTGGTGCTTTTGAAATCTCAGGCATCACACTCTTTAAATTCCAAACTCCACACACCCCTCCTTAATATTTTCTTCTGTGGCTTGAGGAACTTTTGGCCTCAACTAAGTTAAAGCCACTGTTAACAACAACATTCCTGCAGCCAGTTTAGGCACCACTGAAAACACACAATGATCTTTCCCAGGGAACAAGAGAAAGGGGAGAAAAACCCCTTGGAAAACGTGGTTACTCACCCAAATTCCTCTTGGAAAGAAATGCTTTCCTGGGTGAAGAGAAGAGGCCAAAGCATTTGGATTTTAATCACGTTGCAATGTTCTCTTAATCTCTCCACAGGCTGATTGCACCAAACTTCACAGGGATTAACACCTCCAGGAAAACAGGTGGGAAATGGGCCAATCCAGGCATTGCAGGGGTAAGAAATAATTCAAAATTCCAAATTGGAACAAACATCCCCCGTCAATCACTCCCAGACTTTATTCCTAAGTCCCAACCAACCTGAACAAGGAGACCTGAACGCTCCAAACACACCTGGAAACTTGAGTTTTATCATAAATTAAAGGGGGAGAGGGAATTTCTACAGAGGTAGGAAGAGGGACCTCATGGCAGGCTTTACATTCCTTGCTCAAGGAATTGCCTGGGTTCCAAATTGTACTGATAGAATTAGTTATAAATGAATAAATGCTTCTAAATAAGTGATGCTGTGAGTTTAGTGGCCCTAAGGAAATGCTCTTTTCCAGGTAAAACATGAGCCCCTTCCACCTGCACCCCTGGAATTGTTTTCTACAATAAACCCAGAGCTACAAAAATCAGCAATATTCTCTTTGGCCTCAGAGGCCTTTCAAAAGCATAACCCACCTCCCTCAGAGTCTGCCTGGAAATTAAAAGGTAAATTAGACTATTGGGGTGGCACCCTGTGCTCTGAGGTAAATTAAAAGGTAAATCAGATTATTGAGGTGGCATCTCAGAGCAGAAGCAGCAGCATCTGGGGGTCTGAATATATAGAAAAATTCATTTTACACAGCTGGCTGTGTCCCTGTGAGTCTCCTGCATATTCCAGGTCACCATTTGTGTGGTGAATACAGTTTAGAAGAACTTCACACACTTCACACACCTGCTTTTCTGCCACCTCTGAATTTTTTTAATTGTTGTAACTGCAAAAACTCACCTATAAAAAAAATCAACTTGAAATTGTCTTTGGACCTCTACAGCTAAAACACAGCTACAGTTAAAACACAGGTAATGAATTCTACTTATTTAAGCAAAATAAGGAAAAAAAAATCAAAAAGTTACCAAAACCAGCACAAAAGTGCATTAAAAATTTAAGCAAATTGGTTTAGTTCACATACCTGTTTTAGGATTAGGCAGCACTGTCTGACCAAATGTTCCATGACCCTAAAGACAAACATACTTTTTAACATTGCACAGCCAAAAAAGCAAATAAAGCAAACCAAAACAAACAGGGAACAAAAAGCATGTTTGCTGGAGTTATTTAACACAATGGTGTAGAGGCTGTTTCATGAGACAAAAAATGTTTACTTACATATCCATTAAAAAAAAGTCCACAGATTACTGGTTATGAATGGGCAGGAAAACCTTTATTAATTTAAACAATATTTTAAATCACACTAGAACAGTATTCTAGAAATCAGTAAGTCAAAACCAGGTACTGGGCAGCAAAATAATGTTCAAGAATACCTCACCACACGTGTTTAAGAAGACAACACGGGTTTTCAAAAAGTAATAATTAAGTTTTGACAGTGTGTGTATATTTATATAAATTCACATACATCAAAATAAGTGGAACAGTTGATTTAGTGCTTCAGGGCAGCAGAATCTATTAGTACTTTAATGGGTTTAAACATATGAACCCCTTAAGCTGAAGAATAAATGACTTTGTTCTGTTTTACAGATCCCTACAAAGCCTCTTATTTTAAGTTCCCACCAAAGCAAACTTAAAAACCAACATTTAGCACTTGCAGAGAACTGAGGGCTTTCATTCCACAGCTCAGCTCACAAGGTATTTAAGAGATAAAATGTCTCTTATCTTCTGCTGGCTCCACTCTTAAAGCACTTGATTTTGGCAGCAGCACCCGCCCAAAACATCCTTTATTGGTATAAACACATTCCAGTGGGAATCACTACTCTGGTGGGACCAGCTCCTTGTAAAGACACAGCTTTACAAATAACAAATTCAATTTATCTCTACTTTTTATGGGAATAACATTAGGCCAGTTAACCTGCATTTCAGGACAGCCACACAACTGATAAGTTAACTCCTAACTGAGCTCTCCAAGCAGCACAAACATTCCCAGGGGTTTCTAACTCTCCTGAAGCAGAGCACGAGAAGGGCAAAATAACAGCCAAGGAAAGCACTCCTGGAAGTATTTAAGGAGAAGAGTTTATTCAGAAAAGGGACAATTTATAACTTAGAGGGAGTCTTCATCAGGAATTGTAGTGACAGGACAAAGGTGAATGGCTTCAAATTGACAGAGGGTAGGGTTAGATGGGATATTGGGAAGGAATTGTTGGCTGGGAGGGTGGGGAGGCCCTGGCACAGGTTGCCCAGAGAAGCTGTGGCTGCCCCTGGATCCCTGGAAGTGTCCAAGGCCAGGTTGGATGGGGCTTGGAGAAACCTGGGCTGGTGGAAGGTGTCCCTGCCCAGGGCAAGGGGTGTCACTGGATGATCTTTGAGGTCCCTTCCAACCCAAACCGTTCTGTGATTCTGTGATTAAATAATTAAAAGCCTTACTGAGCATGAAGAAATAGATGCAATTGGAAGAGATGACAAGAACAAAGAAGGGGCCAACACTGCAGCCAGTGCAGAGTTAAAATCTCACGAACCAAGGGGGGACTGTTTTGCCATGAAAGGAACTCAATCTGTCAGGAATCATCCCAGGGATGGTCTGGGTGCAGAGCCAACAGGTTGAGCAAGTTCTGCTGAGAGGATCTACACATCACTGCCTGCTGTGACAGCTGTGCACACACAGTCACCCAAACCTGCCTGACAGAGGACACAGAGACTCTGTTCTGCCCCAATTCAGTGCTTCTACAAGTGAATAATGTACATGGTAGAAGTTACTTTTGCATCAGATTCAACTAATCAACACTAGGAACTACTCTGTAGATCAGATCATGGAATCACAGAATGGTTTGGGTTGGAAGGGACCTTAAAGATCATTCAGTGCCACCCCCTGCCATGGGCAGGGACACCTTCCACCAGCCCAGGTTGCTCCAAGCCCCATCCAGCCTGGCCTTGGACACTCCCAGGGATCCAGGGGCAGTCACAGCTTCTCTGGGCAACCTGGGCCAGCGCCAGATTTGGGTATAAACTCCACTGGAACGTCCTGCAGGTTCTCCATGCAGAGTCAAAGCTACTCACCAGTTCTAAGTAAGATCTATCGACACAACACAGAGCCAGGGTTGCAAGGTCGGATGTGGACGAGGGATCAGCCATGGCACAGGACCCTGGAAGAGAAGGATGGTGAGAAACACGGGAGAGGAAAGCAAGAGGAAAATAACACGTGCTTTGCAGCACTTAAAACGATCACAACAATTTACACTTTGCCGAGGTTTCGCGGAAGAAACACTTACATATCTTACACAGCACAGGTTAATG